GGTTTCTGGTGTAGTTGGATTATCTGTTGCCTACATTTTTGTGGGCGTAGTTACCTTCCTTGGGTTGGAGTTTTCCTTCCAATACTTTCTGTAGGGCTGGATTTGAAGATACATATTGGGAAAATCTGGTTTTGTCATTAAATATCTTGTTCTCTCCATCTATATTGATTGAGAGTTTTGCTGGATATAGTAGCCTAGGCTGGCATCTGTGTTCTCTTAATACTTGTACAACATCTATCCAGGACCTTCTGGCCTTGAGGGTTTCCATGGAGAAGTCAGGTGTAATTTTGATAGGTCTGCCTTTATATGTTACCTGTCCTTTTTCCTTCGCTGCTCTTAATATTCTTTCTTTATTCTGTATGCTAGGTGTTTTGATTATTATATGTCGAGGGGTCTTTTTTCTTTGGCCCAGCCTATTTGGGGTTCGGTATGCTTCTTGTACTTTTATGGGCATGTCCTTCTTCATATTTGGAAAGTTTTCCTCGATGATTTTGTTGAATATGTTTTTGGCACCTTTGAGCTGGGTTTCCTCACCTTCGTCTATGCCTATTATTCTTCGGTTTGGCCTTTTCTTGGTGTCCCACATTTCCTGGATGGTTTGTGTTAAGGATTTGTTGGATTTATGATGTTCTTTGGTCGATGAATCTATTTCTTCTAGTTTATCTTCTGCGCCTGAGATTCTCTCTTCCATCTCTTGAATTCTGTTGGTTATGCTTGTGTCCGTACTTGCCGATTTTTTGCCCAGCTTTTCAATTTCCAGCATTCCTTCCATTTGTGTTGCCTTTATTTTCTCAATTTCAGTTTTCAACCCTTGAACCATTTCCTTCACCTAGTTAATTGTTTTTTCTTGGCTTTCTGTACTTTCCTTAAGGAATTTGTTCATTTCTTCCACTTTTTTGTTTGTTTTTTCCTCCATTTCTTTAGGGGATTTTCTCACATCTTCTGATTCCTCTGCTTTGTTGTTGTGTTCCATTCTAGTTAGTGTAGATTCCCTAGATTCTGGTGGTGTCATGTTTGTCTTTCTGTTGTTAGGTGTTCTCTTGTATTACCTTCTTCCCATAGTTTCTTCCAGTAGGTGTTGGTGGTGTCTCTTCCCTCTCTCTATGGTCCTTCCCCGATGGGCTTATGCGGGTCTGAGATTCAATATCTGTAGCTCTGTGTGGTCCAAGCTCTCTAGGAGGTTTCTCCGCAGACAGGGATCCAGGGATGGGGTCAAGGATGAGGATCCAGAAGAAGATGCCAGCAGGTACTCACAGTGGTCCTCTGGCCAATAGCTCTGGCCAATAGCTGGTGGAAGAGGACGAGGGCTGAGCTGGAACTTGAGAAGGTTTAGCAGAGTAGTGGGATCTCACTGGAAACTGGTGCTCTCCAGCTGAGACCTCGTTCTTTGGCAGAGGCCAGGATTTGGGGGTCAAGGATCTTGCCCGCAGGAACTCCGAGTGGACCCACAGAGATAGGCGGATCTCTGGGAGGGGCCCGGGACTCCAGCAGAGGACTGGAGGCGGGGTCATAGTCCAAGCAGGTAGAAATTACAGGTGGTCCCACGAGTGGATAGTCAGGTCTCCTTTGTTCAGAATTGCTCCGAGAAGTCTCCGAAGTAGGGTGGACTGTTGCCTCCACCCTCTGTCCCAGTGCTCAACCAGAGCAGCAGGACCGTGGGTGGGGTAGGGCACAGGGTAGGGGGGGTAGGCTGGCGGTGGGGATGGGTGGGGTGTATCAGAGCTCCAAGGGTTCTCTCGATGGGGACCTGAGACAGGAGCAGCAGGATCAGGGGCCAACCCAGGGAGTTCACGCCGAGGAGGGGGGAAAAGAGGTTTGGGGGACAGGCAGCCCTGATTGGGCCCAGACTCACCTCTGGCCAATAGCCTGCAGAAGAGGACCAGGGCTGAGCTGGAACTTGAGAGGGTTTTGCAGGGTTGTGGGCTCTCACTGGAAACTGGCGCTCTCCAGCTGAGACCTCGTTCTTTGCCAGAGGCCAGGATTTGGGGGTCAAGGATCTTGCCCGCAGGAACTCCAAGTGGACTTGCATAGATCTATAACTCCTTTCATTGGAATGATTACAAGAGCTAAGCCTGGGCACCAGAGACTTCATTACATGGGAAACAATTTTTAATGGTGTGACAGTCATGGCATCTAGTTTTAAGAAGTATTGAATCATATTTACTGACTTGGAAACTGTTGATGAGAGTTTGGTGGGGGAAACATATTGAACTTGTACAATCACAATCCTGGCAGAGCCATATTTGTTGGGTATGTCAAAGTCATAATGCCAGCACAGCTGCTTGACAAAAATCCAGCAAAGCTGAGCCACAAGATGGCTGAGGGGCCATCTTTGGTTTTTATCTCCACCTGGTGCATATTTGGGGGACTTTGAATATTTGTATAATTTGGGGATACTGGAATGATGGAAAATTTCTCATGAATCATTTATTCCTTCTCCCAGGATTACTGTGTCTAAGCTTCACAGGACAGTCCTGAAGATACCACCACTCCCGCTTTTAGGGAGATGTCCTTATCTACTTGAAGGTCTTCCTTATGCCTCGGGGGTTGGGACACACATACAGAGGCCAGGTCTCTTTGTGAGGCTCTGAGACGTTCTTGAAACATCTGTCCTTGTGCGCACTCAGAAACAAGATATTCAAAACGAAGTCAACTTGTTTTTCCTTCTTCAATACCCTTTATATATGTAGGCTGACAACAGAAGGTGTAATCCAGATTAAAGACTGACCCTTTTGTTTGCTTGACTGATTTTTGGTTTTGGGTTTTTCTTTTCCTATTATTATTTTTTTCTTAATTTACATATCGATCCCAGTTCCCTCTCCCTCCCTCCTTCCTTCTCTCCCATGCCCTCTGATCCTCCTCCCATCCCATTCCCATCCCCCAATCCACAGGGAGTTTGATGCCTTCCAGGAGGGATCAACAAAATCTGTGAAGTCATTTGGAGTAGGGACTAGGCCCTCCCTCCTGTCTCTAGGCTAAGGCAGTTATCCCTCCATGAGGAATGTGCCCCCAAAGTCCTTTTGTGCACCAGGGATACATCCTGGTTCCACTCTAAGAGGTCCCTTAGTCTGCCCAGGCCTTCTAACTGAGACCCATGTTGAGGGGGCTCTGAGTCGGTCCAATGCTGGTTTCCCAACTTTAAAAAGGACTTCAAGATTCAGTGGGCTAGAGGAGTTGGCCACAGATCAGATAGCAAGCCTCTTCCCACAATACACTCAAGTAACTGTGGCATATACGGCAACAAAGTTAGATAGGCTGGAGTTACTTCTGCCCTACATAGGGACTCATTGATAAACATTGGCAAGGAAGATGCCACTACACCACCCTGATAGATAACCTCTTCTATATACATACTTCGGTTTTGAGCATGTTGGATTAAACTTGCAATCCTCCTGCCTCATCTTTTCATGCCACCACACATGGTTCAAAACCAATGTCTTAAGTGTGTTCATATGAGGAAAAAAGTAATAATACTCTGTGTGTCACCTTAGGCCATGTGCCAGCCTTAGAGACAGCCTGAAGGTCCAGTCTGTGTGCCTCAGCATTTGGTCACTGTGTGAACACAGTGAACCAGTTTGACAGAGCACTGTCTCCAAGAGGCCTCACAGTGGCCAAACCCAGGGAGCCAGCTTCTACACTGGCTCCTTTGGGGCTTTTTGTTGCTGTGGAGACAGTCTGTCTTGTGCTCCTGTCTGCTCTTAAACTCAAAAATAGCTGAATCTCAATCTCAAACTCCAGTTTCTGGAAGGCATTAATTTTAAGATTGTTTCCAATCACTTCTGTCCCTGTTTCTAATTCCTTCTACAGGAAGATCTTAGTGTTTTATAGACATTGGACAAAAGCTGTGATAAGGAAACTGTGTTAGTATGAATGTAATTGACCACCATAAGTTCATAAGAAGTGGCACTGTTAGGAGGTGTGGCTTTGTTGGTGTAGGTATGGCATTGTTGGACAAAGTGTGTCACTTTGGGGTAGGATTTGAGGTCTTATATATGCTCAAGCCATATCCAGTATCTCAGTTCACTTCCTGTTGCCTGTGGGTCAAGATGTAGGACTCTCAGCTCCTTCTCCAGCACCATGACTGCCTGCAGGCCACTACATTCCACCATGAAAATGGACTCAGCCTCTGGAAACATAAGCCATGTCAATTAAATTTTTTCCTTTTGAAGAGTTGCTGTCTTTTCAGCACAAAAAAAAAAAAAAAAAAAAACCCAAGTAAAAGGTTAGGTGCTGTGAACAGACACCATGACCACGGCAACCCTTATAAAGAAAAATTTTAATTGGGGTGGCTTGCAGTTTCAGATGCTCAGTTCATTGTCCTTATGATGTAACGTGGTGGTGTATAGGCAGACATGATGCTGAAGATGGAGCTGAGATTCCTACATCCTGATCTGCAGGCAAAGGAAGTGGAGAGAGTCACTAGGCAGTATCTTGAGCATAGGAGACCTGAAAGCATAATAAACACAGCAATAAATAAAGAGTATGAGCCAAATCTTTTATGCTAACTCATTAGATCAATAGAAAATGAGTGTAACTGATGAATTAGGGACATTTTAAAAATATTTATCTATTTATGTATATGAGTGTTCCTAGACCTAGTCAGGCAAGCTTAGAATTGTCTGTAACTTCAGCCCTGGGAGATCCAATGCCTCTAGCCTCCTTTGTTTCTGGAACTTGCACTAGGATGCACATACCCATGCATAATTAAAAAGAGTGAAAGGAAATTTTTTTAATGAATGTTTGACAAGTTATGGTCTGAGGGATGAGCTGCTGCCTGGGCCATGCTGATCTGAGTGGGCAGTTCTGTCACCCTGGGCCACGGTGTCATCCAGGCCTGAGCTGCTGTCTGGGACTGTGGCTATCACAGCCAGGCTCTGCATAGATGACTTGAGCTCCTGTTACCACTGAAGGCTGTCCAGATGCCTGGGGTCTGGGCTCCCACCTGGGGCTGTGTTAGAGTCTGGAGACCATGCTGATTTGGGAAGCTTATGTTTCCACCCATGGCCATGGTGACTTCTGGCCCCACGCTGCTGTTTATGGCCATGGCTGGGTTCATGGTCCTGTTGCAGCCCGGGTATGTATTGATGCCTGTTGCCTGTATTATTATAGGAGCCTGTGAGCCATGTATAGAACCAGGTGTTAAAGTATGAGGGCTGTAGACCTGGCATTGCCCCTCACTGGCCTAGGAAGAGCTTCCCATCCCTGGAGACCTGACATGCCTCTCACATCAGCCCTAGGAAAATGGACCCTGATGGCTCGGGCACTGGAGAACTTGTCCCTGCTCTTGGGAAATCTGGTCACACTACTCACCATGGGCATGGGAGAGCTGGCTCTGCCCCTTACCTGAGGGGGATGGTCCCAGTTGCCCTCACTGACCAACTCAGCTACCACCCAGGCAAACACAGACCTTTGAGCTGGCAATCTCCAACACAGACCCCATCTATGAGCTGCAGGAGCTCCTGAAGGGCCTGGTCTTGCAGAACTATAGCCACAGGATCTCCATGACTCATGGTAACTGCAGGATATCTGAGACGAGATTCAGTGAGGGTCCCAGTATTGATGGGGTACCAGAAGCCAGAGCCTTGAAAAAGGGTATACGGTGTAATACATACCATACCCCAATGCCATGAAGATGAAAGAAGATGCAATGGAGAGGTGGAGAAAAGGGGCCAAAGTGCTTTTTGTTACTGTGTTTGCTTTTTCTTTTGTTCATTTCTGCAATGTTCTTATTTTATTTTTAGTTCTCATTTTTATTTTATTTTTAATATTTCTTTTGAATATTTTCTTTGTGGGGGGCACTAAGGGTGAAGGGTAGATACATATGGATAGGGAAATGAGTGGGATTGGGTGCATGGTGTGAAATTCCCAAAGAATTAAAACATTATGCTAAAAAGATCAAGACTAACAGATTATCTGGTAACATTAAGAAGAAATAAAGAGGAGTGACTACTGTGGCTTAGGCCCATTTCCTGTGCTCTGTGCTGACTTCCTTCAGCCCTGGTTGATGCACACACAGTGTCCTCCCGGCCTGAGTATCCTAGATGTCAATTGTTTGCAATTCCCCCAAACCTCCTTCATGAGGAGGTGTGTATCCATTACTCACTGCAGTATAACATATCTGTGCACACAGAACGCTGGACATACACACAAGAGGAATATAACTAATAACAGGAGGCAAAGGATGCTTTCCTCTTTATTGCAAACACACACAAAGAGGGGTCTGCTTGTCATACATACATCATCATGGCATGTTAGAACTCTTGTAGCCAACAATACCCTATTGGGGCCACCTTAGGCCCCAGAGTGTATCCACAAGCTCAGAACAGAGGTGGGGAAATCTCTGTGGACATAAGCCTGAGGATCACAGCACTCAAGAGGGGCAGGGTAAGGCTCTATAACCAGCATCGTTGTGTGTTGTAGAAAACCACACAGGGCATGCATGGAGAAGTTGACAGGAGTCTTGACTGAGGACAGGTAGTAGGAACTTGTCTGAGAGTGAAATCCTACAGCCCAGAAAATTCAGTGTCTGCTACATTCTTAATCAATACTTGCAGAGTCCCACTTCTTAAAGGAAATAAGACAGGAACCATATCCTGATATTTTAGTTTCCAGAGGTGACACTGGAAGAGTTAGTTAATCCGGGTGTTCAATATAAATCCAGCTGGAAGTGATAGACAAGGTCTTCAAGTTCCTAGGCAGAGGCCAAAGGTTTAGTTCTGGAAATCGCGTTGGGGAGCATATGTGCTCGATTTAAAGGTGGTGGAAGGGGCCATGTGTTCCAATGTCAGTTGCAACAAATGATGGAAGTCAGTATCTACGGTGTTGCCTGTTGGTTTGTGTCCACTCAAGTCACACTCACACCTGGCACAGCTCTCCAGTGCCTTTTCAGGGTCACTATGAAATCCAGGCTGCCTATTGGGACAGAGGACACACACAGGAAGGTCCATGAAAACCTGATGGCATTTCAGCATGCCTCTGGCAGATCTCACTGCTCTCTGCCGCCTGTCACTACCCCCATGGTGACTCCCAGTCTGCACCTTAACACTTCCTCAGCCTCACATCAACCATCTCCCATCTGCTCATCACCCACTTGGGTTCAAAAGTAGGGGCAGCGAGGTGGCTGTTCACACAGTCTGAGCACAGAGAACCTGGGGAGCTATGCAGGCATTCTGTTCCTCTTTCCATGCCATCTTCTCTCTTTCCCATCCCCATTAGAGTGTGCAACCTACCCACATACTTGTAACATAGTACTCCATACACATGCTCGACCCCAGTATAGGTTTCATGAATGACCCTGTGAGGTCTCATTCCTTTAACCAGAAAGCAAGGCCATACTCCGGTATTCAAATGATTCCCTCCTTATTCACTCCAGTGACTGGCAGATATAATGTGCCCACTAATCCTTACAGTGAATGAGAAAAGTTTGCTCTGGTAGAAGCATCTGTCCACCCTTGCTTTCCTGAGGTTGAATGTGGCCTTTAGAAAAAGAAGCAGACTTCATGTAGAGCTGCTCAAGTTGGGTGAGTTTAGATACTGAGATATGAACATGCTGGCTTGCTTCTTTCCATCTGCTTCTGTATTTAAAGTGATGAACCCACAGTCTTCTTATGTGAAAAGAGAACATTAATTGTTTTCATCTGATCCAGAAAAGTTACAAATTGCGCCATGGTAGACTGACTCCAATTTATTCCGACTTCCAACTCATGGATGTGCTCTGGCAGGAAAACTCTCAGAAGCCTCCTGATGTTATGGAAGGATAACAAGGAAAGAATCTCCAACCTCATGGAGCAGAATTGTAATCTGTGTTCTCTCCAGGCCCACTCTAAAACATATGTACTTTGAGGGTTCTGATGGATTCCTAAAGGGAGGTTAATTACCACCTTCAATTATGACACATCTGTAGATGTGTACAGGGCAGATTAGTGGTGAGCTGGAGGGGCCAGCACCATCTTTTCCAGCATACATGTCCAGAAGTCATGGTATAGATCCCAAAAATGGAGTACTTGTAGGTCCCACCTCCTGTGGGTAAAACAGGCAAAGCGTCAGTAAACAAAAAGAGACCTGGCATCCAGTCAGCTCTTTTCAACATCTCTAATGTCAGCTCTTCCTTTCTCCCATCTGGTCTTGGCAGTGTTGGTTTTTTTCCCCAGCACTGAGTGTCCAACAACCTCATGGTCCCAGGCAGTATCTCCATCTGCACTCCATCAGTAGCCCTCTGTCTCAATTCCCTGGTACTACTAGTGCCTGTGGGAGAGACAGGGACAGGCTCCTCCCCCTGTGCCCACATCTTCTCTATTCCTCCCCCACACGCAACTGTCCTTCCCCATCAGAGCTCACCAGCAGGCAAGGCTTCTGAAGTCTTCCAGGCTGATGCTACCAAGGCCTCTGATCTAACTCTGACTCCAGTCTTTCAACCCCAGGTCTCTTTCTCTGTGTACCCCAGTGTCCTTCCATGTGACCCTACATGGGTCTTGCTTACATGGTGCACATATTCTGTGTCAGTAGGACATGTAGCTCATCCAACACAGGCTGGAAATTTTCCTTGTAGGTGAGGCCTACCAGCAACCACACAGGATGATGGAAGAAAGGTCAGTCTGTGGACATAGCCTTCACAATCTTAGTCTGCCATTGAAGACCTCTGGGATCCAGACTGGGAAGAGTTCCATGGGCTTGGGAGAGAGGAGAGTATATATACATATATATACATATATATATATATATATGTATATATGTATATCTATTATATGTATTATATGTATATGAGTATATATATCCACATACACACATACATACATACATATCTTCTAAATGTTTATAGCTTGCTGAGCTGTGGTAGAGCACACCTTTAGACCCAGTGCTCAGAAGACAGAGGCAGGCAAATCTCTGTGAGTCCAAGGCCAGCCTGGTCTACTAAGCAAGTTCCAGGATAGCTTCCAAAGCTCCCATTTCATTAAAAAAAAATGGTGTTTTGAGAACAAGGGGACTCAACACCAATAAAAATGGTCAAGGTGATCCAGCATTCACAAAACAGCTCAAGGCTACTGACTGAGATGATCCAGCCTCAAAAAATGCTCCAGCCAAGACTTAACAGTTATCCTAATTTTCTCAGGGTCCCTCAAAGATTAGCAGCACTCTAATGAACAGGAAGTAGTCTAAACAACTACAATCCACACTCCAAAAAAATAAGTTATGAATGTTTTCATCATTTAGGGGGTTAGTTACAAGTTGTGATAGTTAATGGTCAAGAAAAAAGCTAAACACAAGAGATTAAGTCAGGGATCTCATTCTAAAATGAAAAAGGGGGATTATATAAATGATAGAATTAAAGGGTAGATTGACTCTAATAAAAAAACTATTAATATTAAACATTTTATATTGGCATGAATTTTGGTTTATTGTTGCAAATTCCATGCTAATATTGTTATAATGTATGCATATTTCTACTCTTGTTTAAGTTACTGTTTTGCAGCTCATTTATAAGTGCAATGTATAATTAAAAATACAGATGAACATTTAGTCCTCTATGTGTTTTGAAAGTCGTATGGAGAGAAATGAGACAAATATTTCCAAAAGGAAATCCCATCTCTCTTAAAATACAAAATCTCTTTTAAAATTTCTAAGTCTGACAACTGTGGGCTCCTGACAAAATTGAAATTAAATGAAATAATTTCTTATTTCAAGAAAAAAGGACAAGTCGGGCATTGGTGGCCCCTGCCTTTAGTCCCAGCACTGGGGAGGCAGAGGAAGATCAATCTCTGTGAGTCCGAGGCCAGCCTGGTCTACAGAGCAAGTTCCAGGACAGGCTTCAAAACAATACAGAGAAACCCTGACGAAAAACAAACAACAAACAAACAAAAAGAGTGAAAGACAAGTGCACAGTCACAACCAAAACAAAACCCAACTCAACAGTGAAAATAAATCCATTCCATGATCTAGATCCACTCTCTCTTCTGGGCTCTTCTGAAGGACTGGCATCACTTCTCAGCTCTGCCCTCTACAGGCCAGCCACCCTCCACTGCTGCTGCTGTTCTTCCTGGTCATCCCAGGGCACTGGCATCTCCAAAATGTGAGGGTCTCCTGCTGCAACTGGGCTGCACTTGCACCAATAGCTTCTCCTAGGCTGACTTCGGGGCCTCCAGCCCCGCCCACAGTGAAAGCCTCAGCTGCTCTCCAGGACCCATTCCTGCCTTCAAACCAGGACCACCTGGGCGATTGCTGCACTAGCAAGTTCAGCTGCCAGCATGAGCACACAGGACCTTGTGCAAATACTTCTCAGAAGATGTCACCTCAGTCATGCTGGCCTCTTCTAAATCTCAGCTGATCCTTCCGTCCCAGCTGAACAACATCCATAGCCCAGCAAAGGATTCACTTTAGTTGTCCTGGTATCTTGCCGATCACAGCTGATTCATCAGCCACAGAAACCAGAAACCAAGTAGCCCAGGAGATTCTTTGCTTCCCTCTGAAACTTCACAAGCCAGGCCTCCATCATTTGCGCTGCCCTCAAAGCTCTTATCTTCCAAGCTCATCCAGATCATCCCACTCAGCTCTCCACACTCAATGGCTT